TCTTCTCTCTGAAATCAATAAAAACTTATTTTTTTAAAAAGAAAAACGTCAATGATGAGAGTCATTCATCAGCTGCCTCCTGCACCCCCCCTGCTGGGGATCGAGCCTGCAACCCAGGCATCTGCCCTGACTGGGCATGGAACCATGACCTTCTGGTTCATAGGTTGATGATCAACCACTGAGCCACGCTGGCCGGGAAGTTCTCAACGTCACTGTAGTGGTTACAAGTTTTCAAAACCTCTGATTTTTCCTTGAAAGCTCAATTTTTATCACTCTTTAAGTGAAAGACTCTTTGTGTTCATTTTTTAGAAAGTATCTGCTAAAATTCCAAGTCTGAATAACCATAGTTTGCCAGGCATTCTTTCAAGTAAAAATAATGCTCTACAAAAAAAAAAAAAAAAGCAGCTAGTTTTGCTTGCAACTCCAACAACTACACAAATGCTTTCCCTTGAAAATTAGTAACTTTTACTGCTTTATCGAAGATATCGTTAAGTGAAACTGACTATTTTTACTGCAAATGCATGGTGGTGAAGATTACAACAAAGGGAACAATTCAGTACCACTGCTTTGATTCATGCTAAGAGGTCAGCAGTTTCACCCACCATTGCCTCTGCACCACCACTGCAAGTGCCAACACAGTGAAAAAGGCAAATCATATCTAAGTATGATTATGAAAATAGTTTGAGCCTCACAGGCTTCCTAAAATGATCCTAAAAGGGAACTCCAGGGTTCTTCAGATCACACTTTGAAAACCACTACTCTAGACTATCCAAACTAATTTTCAAAATTTCTCTGTGAACACTGAACCCATGTAACTACTCTAACCCAATATATAGGGAGGAAAACAAACAAACAAACAAACCTCCTAGAATAAAGAGTCTCTGAACAACTGTGTGGTAGCTGGAAAGGCTCCTCAGACAGGTAAGGGAGGCTCAGGAACTCTGTGTATCTGAAAAAAGGACTGACTTAAATGGTCCTCAACTTTTTCCTCCCATTCCCACAGCAAAAGTCTAGTATAGAGTCTGTGCCAAACTTCAAATTACAAGACAGGAAGCAAGTATTTAAAAGACAACGACACTAAAATGATTTTTATCAATGACAACTAGTTTCTTTAAGGTTTCTTCAAAATGTGAATTTTATACAGTTTAATCTCATTTTATAAAAGATGAAATAATTCATTCTTTTTACCAACAGTCAATCCTAACCATAACACTGTGTTCAGTTAAAAAACTGTTTTTCTTTACAAGAGACAATTTCACCTCTTCAGCTCACACATAAAGGAAAGATTTAATAATACTACCTCATGTATAGAATTTGGAACAATTCAAAGTGTTCCCGATTTGATAAAATCATAAAATTTTACAAAGGAAACATCTATTTTGTTCACCATTGTATGCTCAGTACCTTGCTCAGCCCATGTATAAAATAAGATGTTCAATAAACATTGCTGAATGCTGGGTACTGAAGTGGAGGAAATAAGAACCCTGGTTACCAGACTCCTGGTACAATATATCCAGTCCTCTTTCTACTATGTGAAATCTTTTTCATCGTTCTCTAACATAACATCTGAGGACTCCAAAGGAACTATTACAACTTACCCTGAGAAGATACAACATTATCTGTTCCACTTGAAATTACACTAGAAAGCCTGCTATGATCTAGGTGTTTCATAGGTTCTCATTTAGATCACAGTTCATCATTATCATTTTTTAATATCTGCCATTTGAATTAAGCAGTAATGTCCACCCCTATATGAAGAAGTGACAATAAGATGATAATCTAATTCAATTGTCATACACTGATGGTACTATCTTCATACGCACACTATACTAAATATTTCATTTTCTGTGATGATTCAGAACGGTTCTTAATTTCTTAAAGTTTTCTGGGTTTATATTTGAGACACTTAATTGCCTTATAAGAACTTGAGATATAAATATAAAGGAGGTTATGTCGTACTTCTGATAACAATTTGTCACTGTAACTTTTTCTTTTTTAAATTTTTCCTGTCATTTTGACATTTATCATTTTTCGCTCACAAAAACACAATGTAGAAAACCTCAGGTACACTTCAACTATGTAGTTATTTAGATTCTGGATTTTAAAAAACAATAAAATTTAAACTAATCAACGCCAGCAAGTACCAAACTGAAATTCAATCACAGAAATAGTTTAAATTTAAAGAATATAATTTATCAATTTGGAATTGAAGCTACTTCAATCAAATCACATTTCATTTAAAATACCGCTATGAATATAACCTCATTTCATCCCACATAAACTTATTCTGCAGAAAAACATGACCTACCAAGGATATAGCCAAAGGAAATGGTCTTCTGTTGCAATATAAAGGGTTTGAACTATATATATATTTCTTGAATTAGATATTCCTTAAAGAAAAAAAAATTGCCAGTGAAGACTTTAAAGGGAGACCATGGACTCCATCTTTTCTGGAGGTTTAGAAAAAAGAGATTTTTCAAGTGTCTGGGATGGCTTAGACTTGGCCTCCCATTTGTCCACCGAGACAGAATCAGTACAAAGGTCAGTCTGACCCAAGGGATTGAAGCTCCGTCTGTCTTCATGCAAACAAGTCATTAGCAATCTGCATCCTTCTGCTCTGCAGCTATCCAATCCCTGTTTTGGTAATCACCAACCTTATCCTTGAAATTGCCTTAACTGCTAATTAACATGTCAGATGTAGAGAATTATTTCTTCCAACTACTAAAACTTTTGCTTTTCCATAGTGCTCTGCAGTCCTTTAATTCTGTTTTCTAACATTACCAGAGAGGGCAATATTTTGTGATGCAATCAATATCTGCCCTATTAACAATGCCCTGCTCCATTGTTCTATCCAAACATGGATTCCACTCTGATTTTCAGAAACAGCGGTACGAAAATAAGAGACAGAGAAATTAGAGCTCTTAATTTATGGCCAAAATTAAAAGAGAAGAGACAATTCAGAGAGAGGAAGGAAGAAGCTGAGAGGGTTGTAGTGTAGAACACTTACTTTTAGGAACAGAGTGTCCCTTAGACTTCTGGTGAGTTGCCCAGAGCCTCTTCAGTTTCAATCCAAATGACAATGCTTCTCTGAGTCCTCCTCAAGTAATCCACTAAAAATTGGATCTACAAGAGCTCAGATGCACTGGTAAAAAATGTCAGGGGCCCCCATGTGGGCCTCAAGCCTCTTTTAAACTAGGCCCACTTCTCTGTCCTGGGCCAACTCCCCTGTGCACTATTTTCCTTCTTCTTCCAGGTGCCAGGTATTCAGCCTGTTTCTTCTCTTCTGAGCTGCCACCACCTACTCTATTTCTCGGGGTTCCTCTAACCCCAAGACTGGCTGTGGAGTAGGACACCAGCTTCCCCCCTTCCTTGCTGTCCCTGCAAATAAACATATAGGCTCTTCTAGTTTCAGTATTTTTCTAATGGCTACAAGAAAATAGAGGGAACAACAAAAAGCAATAATATCGTACCAGAGGTTAAGATTATAACCATCTCCACTTTAAAGTTCCTGCCTCCTACAACCAAATTTTCTGAAAATTGACTATTGAGCATTTAAAAAAGTATAAAGTACTAACATAGATACACAAAATATAACCTAAACCAATTCCAACCTTATATAGACATAGAGATATAAAGATATTCTGCTTTTCAAAAACACTTAAATCACGGGTCCAAAACTATTTACCACATTCATTTTAACAAACAGGTACTTTTTTATTAGAATGTTCTGTTACATTTCTTTGAATTTTGTAGATGTCTGAAAGTTTGCTTTTTAAAGGATATCATGAAAAATGCTCATATTGCATCCAATGTAAATGGGAATATGCAAAAAGCATATTATGATTTACAAAAAGACACATGTCAAAAGCAGCTAGTTTCACTAAGTAAATCATGAAATTTTAAATTATTGCCAACCGTTTCTGAGTCTACATTTTAAAAATTGAATAAAATGCTCTAAATGGTGTTTAAAAATCTGATACCTCATTTTTAGAAATCTAATTTCTACTGAATATGTAAATCTAATATCAATATTGTGTTGGCATTTTTTTAAACACAGTATACCACATTAGTAGTATACTCTTGTAATCTGTAACAGAATTTGTAATATCAAAATACATGTTATCTAATTATCAGGCTATAAATCACAGGATTATAATGAATTAATTTAAAGGCTACCTTCCTATAAAGGCAAAGAAACTGTATGTGCTGGCATATCAACAATGTCACTGACTTTGAATTTCCTGGATGATTTTCTTTACCCACTTAATTAACTTAAGTGGTTTTTTAAAAAAGACTCAGCTACTGCAAGCTTACAATAAAATAAAGACTGAAAATAGACAGATTAAGTCATTTAGTCTCATTTGTATAGTCTAACATTGCCATTTGATCAAATTAAAGATACTCAGATATTTTCAGTAAAAATGTGTCCGTGACTGGGCTTACCTCCAACTATCTATAAAATATTGGAGAACTGGAATACAAACACTAAACAAAACCTTGATCTGACCCTTCCAGACGAATATATAAAAAAAGGAAGTTAAACCTATTGTGTATTCTCTCTAATCAGATACTTTTTTTTGAGGAACACAATTAAATTACATCTTTTGCTCCTAAAGAGGTCTTCATGATTTTTCTTTGAGTCCTACACAGTAAAACAACAATGCAGCCAACATTATAATATCCGGAATGTGTGTGTGTGCGTGCGTGGGGGGGTGATAGTTCACCTAGCGATACGCATTAAATCGAAGTAGCTAATGCCTCCCTTAAATAATTTATTCTCTCTTGGCAGCAAAAAAAAAACACGTTACAGCCTCTTCGATTACCCCTCACCGCAAACCATCGCTTGGGTCGCGATCAATCTGACCCAGCTCCTACCGCGGCCACCACCTCCGTCTGGCCTCCTCCCGCCGGGTCTGCGAGTGTCACGGGAGGGGGGGCAGCCGCAGGGGCGTCCTCTGCGCGCGACCCGGCCGGCCGCGCGGGGCTGGCCCGGGACTCACCGGGTGGAGGTGCCCTTCCGCACATCGCACATCATGCACTTGAAGGCCTCGGCGCTGTTCCGGAAGGTGCAGACGCTACAGTCCCAGTAACCCTCGTCCGAGGACGGCTTGGGCTGCCGCTTCGGCCTGCAGGACAGAACCCGGACACGACGCCGCGCGGGGTCACCAG